ATCACAAGCACAATAATAATAAGTCCCACCAGAAGTTCAAAAATTTCTGTATTGTGTAACATGGCATATACAGCTATAGATAGTTTTGAGTAGAGCAGAACAGTCTGAACACGCTCTTGGCTAGTGCTTTCGTTAATCCCCAGAGAGACAGGACCTTTCAGTAACAGGGGCACCTACAGAGAAAAAAAGAAACAAAAACCCTCCCAAAACAAACCCCAAGCAAAGCTCCCTTCACCTCTTTAAGATCTACAGTAATCATGTACATTTATAGCAATTGTGATTTTAGGAAGCTCTGAGACCTTTTTTAAGGCTTCTACAAACACACTAGAATGAAGATGCAACCTGGTCTCTCCAGGGAATTCTTCACTTTCCTAAAGGTCTGCCCAGTGTCAATGTGTTGAGCTGAGCAACTGGAAAAGCAGCTCTCAGTTTCAGAGAGCACCGAAACTGGACTCAAGATCAAAGATTTTGTTCATGATCTGTCCCTAGACCAGCTCTGCTGAAGGCGAGAAAAGTTAGTTTCAGGTAAAGCTCTGTCTCAGAGTACATAAATGAACTAAACAAAGTGTCAGAAACTACGATCTTGTTCTGTGATAAATAGCCCATGTTAGGGGTTTTTTTTCTGATTCCATTTTATAAATCATTTTAATAGGCATGTGAGGTAATATTTTTCATGCCATTTGAGTTGCTTGGCGCTGACTAGTCTAATGTATATATATACAGAAATAAGGAAGAGCTATTAAGACAAATCAAATGGTATAAATATTTGCACTGTGAAACAAAACTTATTTGCTGAAACATGTAATTAGGTATTAATAGCTCATAATGTGTAAACATTTATCTGAAAAACAGCAAATTATTATTATTATAGAGACTAATAACAAACCCCTTTCACAGGCAAAAATTACTGACATGAATGTGAATACCTTTGGTTAAATAACGTCCAAGGGAAAGAAAAAGTAATTTTCCACATGGACTTGCTCATTCATAAGTATCCAGTACCCAGTACACTTACTGGAAGCAGTGGGATTACAGGTGATCATACAGCTTTCAGCAGTATGTTACTAAACTTTCTGCTTTATCAGCATCTCTCATGCATGCAGAAATTTATTGCTGTTATATTATGAAAGCTGGTGCATTAGCCATTGGGCTGGTATATTTTTTCTCAACATTAAATAGTTCCTCTAAAGTTTGTTACTTTCCACATACATAATTAATTCCCCATGGATTTAAGTGACATTGACAACGTCAAAATACTTTATGTATCTAGAAGCTGAATCCAATATTTTTATTAAATTACTGCATCTGGATAAAATATAGGTAGTGACCTACAGCTCCCAGACACATTCCACAACATTCATGCTTAGTAGGTCACAAAACCATTAATGTGCCTTTATAAACCTCAGGAAAGCTGAGGGGGTGGGGAGAGTGGCAGAGAATAGGACAAACCAGAGTGAGAACAACCAGACCAAGCTGGACAAACTGCACTAAATTGTATAAGCCATGCAGACTTACTACGTTGTTTACCCAGAGAAGACAGTGTTATGCAGGAATGAGGAATAACACAGTATGAATGAAAAAGAATTAACTTATTTTTTGTGAAGGGGAAGGAAGCCATAAAAACTTGTCATCAGACAATTTAGTCGTAATGGGAGAGTGTAGGTTTTAGGCTCAGTGTTACATGTCAAGATTGTTTACCTGTAGAAGCTATCAAGTGAGTGGTAGAGAGGAAAGCATGAAATATCTGTAACTTTTGTGTTCTGGTGGCTATAATTGTACCTTTTGTTTTCCAGCCTAGCAGCAGGCTCATGAAATGTGGGATTTTTGTTATTATACCCAAATTAACAAATTATAATGTTTTCTTTCACTATAAACTCATTCCTAGAAATATTTTCCCATTATGGGAAGCCCATTTGGCTCACAGCAAACACTCTGCTTCTGACAGAAGCTTCATCTGGTGCCTGTTTAGATATCACCCAGAGCTCTAAGCTTCTTGGCACTGTCAGGATATATTTCATGCCTAATATGAACACATCTTGTGGGTACACTCCCTTTTGACCACGTCTGGTGCCTGGTCTAATAGCTAATTCTGACTACCTCAGATGGTTTTTCTGCTTTTGCTGAGCTTCCCTTTTCATTTCTCATTGGCCAAGGCCTTAAATTACACCTGTCTACTTCATATATCCTACTGGGTCGCTGCTCCATGCAGCAGCACCTGAGAGACCAAAACCCTATTAGATTAGGTTCTGTACAAACGTCAGTTTGAAAAAAAAAAAAAGGATTGATCCTAACATAAAGAATAAGGCAGAAATGGAGAAAGAGTATGCCTGAGGGGATGTAGTAATGTTAATAGGTGTTAGTCCCTTTTATAAGACACCCTCACAGAGTGTTTTAGAAAGTAAGTCTGTCCGCCAAAGTTCAGTCAGAAGAGATGACAAGAAAAGAAAAATTAAGATGAAAAAGAGGAATGACCTGGTGCACATAGGACTGACCACAGTGTGAGACCAGGCTGGTTTACCTAATCCCAGAATACACACTCATGCACACAGATACAGTCTGCCTGGGAATAGACCCACTTGCTTTATTTGTAACAAGGCAGCCTGTATTAATGTTTGGATAATAAGGTAATAATGATTAGATAATAAAGATCTGCATGCCCTACAACAGCAGTCCTCTGCAGTTGAACATCTGTGATTGCTGAGGTCCTCACCTGCAGGTCAGAAAGGTCCTCACTTTCTCATATCTTAACAGAAAAAGCTTGGACAAGATTTAGCACCAACTGGTTAGTCATCTATTAATGGGGTTTATGTCTTTTAAGAATAATTTTGGTGCTAGTCTTCTTTTTGTTACATTTATAAAATTATGGCTCTCTGTTATCTCTTTGATTCCATATTTTTGTTACACAAATTTATTTGCTGCAGTCCATATTAATATTTCCAGTTAACTTCTAAAATCAGTGCTTTGCAATGCTTCATTTTTTTCAGGCAGTAGTTCCTGGAAAGCTGCCTGTGATTCCCAGCTCAGGTCTGGAAGTCTTCTGTTCTTTCTGGGAACATATGTTTAGTGTCTGACTCCCCCAGTTCATGATTTGTACTTTGGGTCTCTGAGATGGCAGGGTTAGGTGCTGCAAGCTTCAGCGCTTCAGTACTGAAGGTCTTGCCATGTAAATACTGACCAACCACAGCAGAAGTCCTTGAACAAATCCTACTACCTTGGTAAGCTGGGATAGCTGAGCTGTTCTCTCTAAAAACTGGATGCTTCCAGCTTTCTGGATGTCAGATGAGTCAAACACCTTTGATTCTATATCCCAAAAGCATTACAAATACTGCTTTTTTCCTGCCTCCTATTCCTTAGGCCTACCCAAAATTTCTCTGCAGACATTTTAATTTAAACAATCGATTTATGGATTAACCTCATCAAGGAATAAAGAATAGGTAGCGTATCAACAATTCACTACTGTAGTAAATTACATTTGTTAAAATTAGACTCCTGTTGAATAAGGCCTTGATGATAATTGCTAAAGTTGAGTATTTGTGGTAAAGTAACACAGACTTAGTTATTAGAAAAGCAAGATTCAGCATTTTTAAAGTGTTGGTTTCTACTGACTATTGAAATTCAATATGCTATCACTGGACTTATTTATTGATCTATTTAACAGTTTTACAGAGCATTGCCATGCACTTGTTAACATTTGAAAAGCAAAACCTAAACAGCTCTCTTTTACATTCAGTCCATCCTGTACTATGACACATTTCCTGGATGTACTATGAGCAATAAATTCCATGTTTGGTATGTGTTTTTGCAAAGCTATAAAATCTATGGAGGTATCAAAAATAAAATTTAATAACACAGATGATGCCCAGACATTCCTTTCCCATTGAATCTCCTAAGGGCTGACTTGCAGAGAAATCTAGATGTGCATTTCCCACTGATTTCAGTAAAAGCTATGAATAAATCCTCAAAGTAACTTAGTCACTGAAATATCTTGCTCATAGATGATTGCCATCTAATACCATCTCTATCCCTCATTTAGGAGTCTGTAGGAGCAGAGAGCACTTCTGGAAGAAGAGAGAACTGCTTTACTGGATACAACTGCAGTTCAGAGAAAAGGACAAACCTCAGGAGCCAAAGTGGTTGACCCACCTGGATGTGAGCAGCTAACTCTGATCAGGTATGTGCATTTGATAGAATCCTGAGAAGTGAGACACATCCTGCAACCATGCTCAGCTCTTGTTCACAGCAAGAACTTCAGCAACATTTTCTATCCCCATGGAAAGTTTCATCCTAAGCTGACCATCTGTGCCATTCATGCTGTTTCAATTCATATAATTACCACAGGAACAAAAAGAGGCAGAACATATAGAATACTAGTTAATTAACATGAACAGGACATCCCTGCTCCAAGGGATACCTTTTATTTATTCATTATAGAATATCTCTAAGAAGAAACATTTGTAAAGGACGGAGTAACCAAATAGCTTGGCCACTTGGGATCTGGCAGAGCTGAGTTTAAACAAATTTCTTGGAACATACAGAAGAAGATGGGTCTTTGTCCTTCATCTCCCTAATGGATGCTCTGACTACTTAACTCCTCTGGATATATGCATGCGGTTTTTCCCCACTCGCTCCCTTTCCCTCCTTTTGTTTCACGCTTCAAGCGCACCCATGGGCTGTCCTCCTGCTTCATGGCACAGATTGAGATGTTGGCTTTGGCACTGGGCAGCAGTAATACCAAACCACATGTAGGTTTCTATATGCTAAAGAATGGAAACATTTTCTTCTTAGTGTACCTGGTTCAAGAAGGAATGAAATCAGAAAGCATTATAGCTCTGTGATACAGTTTGCACACTAAAGCTACTAATAGTTGAGTCTTGTCATAAAAACTAGTAAGGTCATCAAATACAATTCTGTTATTTCTAAAAGTATTGTTAGTTTCCCTATAATATTTTTTGCAAACCTTAAACAGCAGGTAAAAAAAAAAAAAGTTGAAAGATGTAGATGCAACTGAAAATGTTTAGAGAAGAACAATGAAGTTTTACAGCCCAGTACCTAAATTCACCTACGACTGGAACTCGGACAATTGCTATATTTTGTCTGACTTCAAAAAATTTGTTCTTCAGGACAAAAGTTAGGACAAGCAGAAAAGGAAAGCTTTACATTTAGAGCAGAAAATTTTGGAAGAACATAATTTTATTTGCTTAGTTTTCTTACTTACTCAACCAAATATTTTACCAAAGATGTAATAACCATGTAAAAATAACTGTTCATGTACAGTTGGTTAATGATGGATAACACACCATCAGTATCAGACTTGCTTAGAATTGAAGAACAAGATCTTTGGACATGTATGAGAGAGAGGTTAAGTATTTCACCTTTAAATCTGGTACTAAGAGCCAAAGAGAAAATCTTGCAGAAGAAAATGAGATGAGTCACTGTTATCCATGCAGGAGGCTTTTCATCATCATCTGCTTTTCCTTGGTCCTGGTGCTCAGTGAGAGCCAGTAAGCAAGACTGGCAGCACTTATATGGGGCTGATCCAAGCAAAATGGTCAACTAAGCTATGGTCAGTGTAGTTTACTCTGAAATCTGAAGCAGGAACAACCAGGTACACACCAAAAATATCCTCTAAACCTGAAAACACACCACCATTTGTCACAGCCTCCAGGGAAGTATGCATATAAGCAGATATATGATCTTTTACTTACAACATGGGATGATCTCTTGGTAACCTTGTAAGTGCACCAACACTTCACTGGTTTGCTGCCAGCACACCTAGCTACAAACTGACTAGAATTTAGTCCTCAGCATTTTCAAGTATCACAGTTAACAGCAAATCTTTTCCAATAACAAGAAAAAACATTTACACCCTTTGGCCAATAAACATTTTCAAATGCTGCAAAAGCTAAACAAGAGTGCTTTAAAGGTTTGGGAATACTAAGCCCTGATTGATTAGAATTAATCATTTACAATGAAGGGTGCAATTGCTTCATTCATGCCTCAGAGTCCTGCAGGATTTCCTGAGGTATTTGAAGGATGCAGGTTTTAAATGAAAATATGACATTTTAAAATGTAAAATTCAACATACTAGTTGCAGCTAAGAAGTCTGAAGTAGCCAAGTGGCACTCTCCCTTTCTGTCATTTCATTTGTAAAGCTGGATTCCCTTTGGTGGGTCAGGTTTTGTGTTAATGTATTTGAATATTGTGAACATCACAAATATGGTAAGACTGGGCTTAACTGCTGGAATGGAAGAGTGTTGATTTTATGCCTTACGATAGATGTGCCTTTGTGTAAAGCAGTAAAAATTGGTAGAGATGGGATACAAGTAGCAGTAAAAAGAAAAATGTTGAGACTCTTTCTTTTAAAATACATCCTGCAGTTTAGCTATAAAGCTCCTTATTTTTAGAAAACCAGTTGAATTGTTCAGGCTCTGCCCCTGCAGTTTCAATAGCAGTCTAGTGCTTTAAAACCCTGACCTTGAAAAGAAAGCGTTTACATTGTAAATGTACTGGCAGTATGTAGACTATTCTATGACTGAGTATCCAACTGCGGCAAAAAGTTCAGAAGCAGATTTTCTTTATTCTGAAAGGCCTAATCCATGGGGCTTTTTTAGTGGTAAAAGCACTTGGCACTAATTGTGACTTAGTTCTAGCAGTGAACCTGTATAATTCTCAAATTTCACACAGCCAATTAATTCCCATGAATACCGGGAATCACAGACTCTGATTAAGTGTTGATATGCAGCATTTTTTGATGCTTAGATTTTCTGCAAGCAAAGGGGACCTCTCAAAGCTGGTCTTGTGTCTAAAATGCAGTATGGTATCATAGCTTTAGATTGGGCACGAGTTTATGATGACCAGAGGACTTAGAGTATAAGCAGAAAACAATCTGTGGAGGTGACACAGGGATGAAATGTGGCATTAGAAGGATATGCAGCCCCTCCTGCTCCCAGGGCTGCCTGTTGGAGGAAGCATGATGGAGAAGAGGCAAAGCCCAACTGCAGAGACATTCTGCAATGGGTCCAATTCACAGCAAATCTTTTGTAAAAAGTCTCACCTTCGAGAATCTCTTTGATAAAGGCTCACTTCCCCACCTCACCACAAAGTTCTCCGTTCTGGTATGGAGGCCCCAGTCACAACCCTACAGTTTAGGGAGGCTTCTCTCTTGCTTCTAAAGCAGAGACTCGCCATTTTTATTATGTACAGAAAATGAGCACACCTTCTCCAAACTTACAGTTCTTACCCTTTACAAACAGGAGGAGCATTCTAAGCACTGACTGTGCATCACTTGTTTTGTATATTCTTTTATCATTATTTCCCCCTCCTTTTCTTTGTTATTAAACCATTTTTATCTTAACCCATTTTTTCCCATTCTCTCCCCATCCCACCAGGGGAGAGCAAGTGAATGGCTGCATTATGGTTTAACCCCAGTTGGTAACTAAGTACCACATAGCCACTCACTCACTACCCACCCACCCCACCCCCAGTGGGCGGGTAAAATCCATCGCTTGAGATAAGAAGAATTTAACAATTGAAATAAAGTAAAATATAACAACAACAACAATAACTAATAACAGGAATCAGAGAGAGAGGAATAAAACTGAAGAAAGACAAGTGATATGCAGTACAATCACTCACCACTTGCTGACTGATGCCCATCCCATCCCTGAGCAGTGATCAGCCCCTCCCAGCCAGCTCCCCCTGGTCTATATACTAAGCATGATGTGCTGTGGCATGGAACACCCCTTTGGCTAGTTTGGGTCAGGTGTCCTGGCTGTGCTCCCTCCCAGCTTCTTGTGCCCGTCCTCACTGGCAGAGTATGGGAAACTGAAAAAGTCCTTGATTTAGGGTAAGCATTACTTAGCAACAACATAAAACATCAGTGTGTTATTAACAAAATACAGCACTGTACCAGCTACTACCCCACCTGAAACCAGGCAGACTGTGTGGTGTTTCACTGCCTGTCAGGTTAAACTACAACATCGGTAGAGGATCCCTTCAGTTGCAGTGGAAACACAACTGTGTTAACAAAGTCTAATGAAGGCCATTGGTGGACAAGGTCTAGAAAAATCACTAGTTGATCATACCCCCCTATGTTGATTGAAGTAGCTGACGAAAATACTAAGAAAAAGGATACTTTAGCTATGTCCATTAATGTTCCATTAATTTGCACTACAGATGATATAAACAGGACCTTTTAGAGCAGTCTTGTGAAAGTTTGAGATTGGGACACCTTCAGAGAGGCTACCAAGGCAGCAGTTACTGTTACACTGGCTCTCACATCTTTCAAACATCCTTAGCACTGTGTGTTATGGTTTTTAAGTAAACAATTGCTGCAGTCTCCACATCACAGCTGGACAGTTTAATACAGAGTTGGTTATACTCCAGAGTCAATGGCAGCTTGATAGTTATGTCCAGGGACTCCATTTGACAAGATAAATAATTAGGTCACTGTACACTGCTTGTTACACATTCAATTTAATCCCACCTGCAAGAATTCATCAAGCAGAGCCAACAAGACTATGTCTTTCTAACATGTGATACCCTGAAGTAAAATGGTGTCAGCTCAAAGGCCTGGTTCTTCACCATACCCATCAGTCAATGAAGACCTCAAACAAATGATCATGGAAGGTCATGGCCTTGCCAAATATACCTACCTTGTTATGAGGGAAAGCAGAAAACAGCTATAAATTTTTAGGGTTTTATAAATAAACCAGGGTAGTCAGTTTGGGAGTGAATTTTAATTTAAAAGGGTATCTTGAATAAAAGTAGTATTCTGCTCCTCTGATTATGTGATCTTAGTAAAATAGGTGATTCCTTACTCTGTTTGAGTAGTTAAAACTATGGAAGCCTGTCACAGTCACAGAATCATTAGGTTTGGAAGGGAGCTCTGGAGATCATTGAGTCCAACCCCCGTGTCCTACACTTCAAGACAGTGTTGTACGATTAACAACCATTTCTCCCCCTAAATATGGGTATTTTTGGAAGTTCTATGGAAAAGGGAAGCTTATCTTTCAAAACTGCTGTTTTCCTCTAAGTGGAAGTAAAGGCCCAATACGATGCTGCATCTATACTTTGCTTGAATAAGAGGTCACATGGGTAGAATATAGCCCACTATACTCCTAGACCTGGCTCTCTGAGGACACATTTATGGAAACAGGGTGATTACAGATGAGGTCCCAGTGTTCACAGTATGCAAACCTAAGGCTGCCCATCAGTCCCATCTACCTTTGTAGCATATGGTATGAGATATGAGTGCCCTTCTAGGAAAGATGCCAAGAAATCTGGTCTGCAGGCTCTTGGCCAGACCATAGCACCAGCATGGCAAAAGCAATGCAGAACAGCAGCCTAGTCATCCTGCAGCTCAACCTGAGGACACAGCCAGCACATATCCAGTCTGTGCCAAGAGACAGAGGTACCCAGAAATCCAGTCTGACCCTGCTCTTCCCTGGCTGCTTTGAGGCTCACGGTACTGGTGTGAAGAGAGTTTATGATGAAAAAGCAGAGCAGAAGAAGCCTATATCCACAGGGACATTTTGAGAAGAACAGCATGTTTCCATTGTTCTTCCTGCAGCTGAGATCACCGGCTTCTCTTAATGAAAATAGCTGCTGGCTATATTCTTAATGGGAACACTGTGATGACACAAAGAGAGGGGAGAGCTAAAAAAAAAAAAATATATATATATATATAATTTCTATTTAACTTCTAATGTAGGCAAACAGTTGAGTCTGGAACTAGAAATACGTAAGTGCCCTTCACTGGAATAATTTTGTTTGGTAATGTTGCTTTACAGCAGTACTGAAGTTCCTTGGATGCTGTTTCTGAGCACTTCCTATCCTATCTTCCATGTATTTGCTTGAAATTTCACCTCTCTTTGGACTTTTAGAACTATTTATGTTTGATTTTGGACAATTATATGATCCCTACAAATTTCTTGTTTAGCTCCAGGTTAAGTTGAACTTTATTTCAACAGAGCTGGTTATTTTGACATAGAATATTTTCAGCATTTAAGCACCTACAGCCAGTCTTACACAAGTCATAGAAAAGAGTAAATAGGTCACCTCATCTATTCCTCTGCCTCAAGGGAGAATCAACTATACCGATGTCAGCCCTGACAGATATTTGTCCAACTTGTACTGAACAGCTCTAATGATTGAATTTCCATTTTCTTATCTTTTCCAATGCTTAAATATCTTCTCAAAATTGAAATCATTATGAGATTATTAAGAATGAAACTGTGCCACCACATTTTGCAGTGGAGTCCTTCAAATTATTGTGAAATGACATCTTAATGTAAAAATGAACAACTGTATCTAGTGGTTTGCTCAAGATGGGTGCCCTCCCACTCACACAGTAAGAGATAAAGGATGATCACTAACCTTCCAGCTCTACAAAAAATTGCAGATCCCTTCTCTTCATTTTACTTTTCCTAATTCTAGGAGCAGATATTGCATATCTGAACTACCTGCACATCGTTTAAAGTACTTCAGAAGGTCTTTACTGGAGACATCTTAGGTGTTTATGCAGGAGACAATCTGGTGCTATGATTATAATTATACTGTAAGCATCTAGATAGTGTATCATGAACACAGATCTTTGAATTTTATATACTTACTCTTTCAATCACGTTCTC